TTCATTTAGAGTTTGATCTTCCCTCCATCATTCTGAGAGTGCAGAAGCAATTCTTCTGCCAGAAGAGGAACCAGGCTCTCGCCCACCGGGGCACAGAGACACCGTCTCTGCACCAGGCCTGCCCACGAAGCCAGGGAGGCTGGCAGGCGGCCTCGGCAGGAACCTCAGCTAATTCACCTAACACTGCCCCAACCTTGTGGGCGTGGCCCCGTCCTCCTCTCAGGAAACATCCGCAGTCAGGGATTCCTGTGGCAGCTTCCCATCCTTGATTCCTTTCTTCTCTTTTTTTTCAATTTAGTAATTTAAATTAAATTTAAATTTAGTAGTAATTTAATTTTTATCAGAATCATGCATGCACATAGTTTAAAGAGCCAAATAGTTGTCACCAATTCCTCCTCTCCAGAAGCCAGTTACACTCAAACCCTTTAGCTGAGTTTCCTTTTTTAGTATTTACGTCCATATTTCTAAATAATATGCTTATGTTGTTTCGTTAGATTTTTTTTCCAAACGTCACCTATTAAACTCCCCATAGTGGATGAGAATTTTGCTATTTTTAATCTCCCCACTGCCAGGACACATGTAGTCTCTTGGCCATCTGGGGTCTAACTGCTTCTTAATCCAGCTTTGGGGCAGCTCTTCACTTTTACCCCCACTTCCAGAGGCAGCAGGTGCCACCACATCCTGAGCTGGTGGGGGGTGGTCTGCAGCGCAAATCAGATGCCTGTCAGGTCCCCACCTCAGCTTCAGCTCTCCTGACTCAGCTAAGTCAGTTATCACTTGTTCAGCTGGTTTTCAGTTTCCAAAATTTTGTTGCTCTCATTTTCCTTGTCCTTATGGGTTTATGCCTTAAAAAAACAACCCTTACTGTCATTTTAATGAGGCTCAGAAGGGAGTGGAGATTAAATGCAGGTGTTAATACACCATCCTTGACAGGATGTATGTCACTGATTTCTTTTTTCCTTTCCAGAGAACAAATTATTTTCTATTTAAATTCACCTGATGAAAACACCCAACACACTGAAGCAGAGCAGTCTGGGTTTCCTTCTATTAGATCAATTCAGTGACTAAAAAAGGAATTAAAATTCAAAGATAGGTTGCTAATTCTGGCCATTGAAAGAGAAAGACATTAGAAAGTGGAAAAGACTGTTCCTCTGAAAGAATATGGCTGATCTTTTATCAACTTTTTAAAAAAGAATTTTTATGAACTTTTATGGTGCTTCTCCCGCTGCAGATTCCTGTTCAGATCCCCTGCACGTGTTCCTTACCAATCACCTACTTTGCTATTTCTTGGAAGAACAAGCATTTGTTAGATTTAGGAGCATGTGTGCATGTGAGTGTATGCACCTGTCTCATCGATGTAAACACACTCTTCCTTGTACAGCGCTGCCATTTATCACTGATCTTTCTCACTCACATGGGGGCCCAGACCCACTTACCCCACATCACTCCTGCACCATCTCACATCCAATTAGTCCCTTTTACTGGCACTGAACAAATGCTCCCAGGCTCTGGCCGGTCCTCAGTCCCCTCTTTCACATGCCAAAGCTGCTGCTCTCCTATGGCACTACATCCTTGTCTACCTTCTAACGGAAAACACTCCTTTCTCTTTCAGAATTTCTCTGAATGTCACAGCTCTCTGTATTAACCAGGAAGAAGAGTCCTTCCTCTCGCTAAGGTCAAGTGTTTCACAACTGGACTTGATTCCTGCCCTCCTCACTTCCTCCAGCCTCAATCCCTCTCATCTTTTATTGCCTTCCTCTTCACCTCTTCCCCGGATCTTTCTTACGCCTAGAAACATGGTTTTCTTATTAAGATTTCCCTTTAACCCTTCAACCCTCTGTGCTGCCATACTCTCTTCTTAAAAGAGTGGGCTACACAGGCTGATTAAAGGGCCCCCCACCCCAGGGTCCCTCTGGGTCATCTGCCCGCTGGGGCCTCAGGTTCCCAGCCTACCTTGGCTGGGGGTATTCACTTCCCAGCACTCCTTTCCTGCCTCACTCCCTCTTCCCAATAACATCAGCATACACATTTCTATCTCCAAAAAATCAATTACAGGGGCTGGCCCGGTGGTGTAGCGGTGAAGTTCTCGCTCCCCTTCAGCGGCCCGGGGTTTGCCAGTTCAGATCCTGGGCGTGGACCTACGCACTGCTAATCAAGCCATGCTGAGGCGGCATCTCACATAGAACTAGAAGGATGTACAACTATTACATACAGCTATCTACTGGGGCTTTGGGGAGAAAAAAGGAGGAGGATTGGCAACAGATGTTAGCTCAGGGCCAATCTTCCTCAAAAAAAAAAAAAAAATCAATTCCATAGCCAGGAGGTTGAACCTGTCCAGACTGGGTGCACTTTTTTAACATGGGCCTGGAGGAGGGAGTGTAACTCCTTATTTTCACTTAATTGTTTAAATGAAGGTTTATCTAATAATATAAATTTGTGTTTAAAAATTTGAAATACTTCTAAAATAATCCTCTCTTGCAGCACTTTGGTGACCTATATCTTCATTGTGTCATTGCGAGATTAAAGTTCTACAAGCAGAATAACAATTACTTATCAAAACTAAAATCTTATGCAAATGTTTTTGAGCCCAATACAAATTAGCAATTCTTCCCATGACTAATGACTATCTGCCCTTACGATAACTGTAAACCCGAGAAACAAAAGATCAAAGGATTCTAAAATAAGCACTTAGGATAATAGAGAGCTGTGTAGGCGTTCAGCAGTAACTGTGGAAACCAAAAGATGATCGTTACGTGCTTCTAAAGGTCTTTAAACCCAGAGCAACGTGAACCCTGAACCGTACATAATGGTTATTCTTTTTCCCCTTCCTAGCAAAATCCTTAATAGACAAGACTCTTCAGCATTTTAAATACAAGCAAAAATATCCCCTAATGAAATCAAACAGAATAACACAAAGCTGCATTATGCTAAAAATCACCAAATTTCATAAACCAATGAAGTTGCAAAGAATTGACAATAACTCAAATTGTTAAATTAATAAACAGTTCTTTTTTCCTGATAAATGTAGTCTCAAATTCTAATAGTCCACAATTCTCATAGCAATACATGCGTTTAATAGAATCGAATATTCAATAGAAGTCAAATCACATTTAGTCAGTTAATATTTGAGCGACTACTCTGTGCAGAATGTTAGAACAGATGTCACAAGTAAAATACAGAGTCACTCAGTATGCAAACCTGGTGCCATAGGATGTTACTATCCTGTTTGGAAGATGGAACACATTAATAAAATACACAGTAACTGAAGCAGCTCTATCAGCTGCCCAAATACATATCTGAAGGGCTGAATAGAATGGTTAGGTAACATAAATCCTGGAATTATAAAAGATCTCCTGTAAAACTGTTGAGACAAAAAGAAGAAAAGTACAGAGTGGCAGAGAGGAGGGAGAGGGAAGTCTTACCAGAGGGGTAGCTTGTGAAAATCTAAGTAGGAACACACAGGGATTAGGGAAGGGCAGCCCAAAGGCCAGGCTGGTTGGACACCGTCACTTCCTTTCCTTTCTCACTGCTCCCCAGAGCCTTCCAATTGGGTCCTGCCCATGAAAATCTTCTGCACACAGCTTTGCGATCATCACCTTAAAGTTAAGTCTCTTTCCCATTCTGCTCAAAAGCCAATGGCTCCCCACTGCCTCACAAACTGAGTTCAGACTCCTGAGTTACACACAGTAAGGACTCAATACATGTGACTGTGTGTGATTACTTTCATATCTCCTGTTCGATTTGAACGTTCTAGAAGGCAAAAACCAATCTTGCCTATTTTTTAATATTTTGTTATGTAATAGTTCTTACAAGTACCTTATGCATGGTAGAAGTTCAAAACATATTTATTAAATGAACAGATGAGTTAATTAATAAATTTTATATAATATTGGCAAAATGGGTGGGCCAGTTGGTTAGATGACCTTGCATGGGAAGTTAGAAGGTTAGAGTTGATACAACAGACTTTAGTAAGCTACTGGATGATTATGTGTAGGGGAGTGACATGAGAAAAATGGCGTTTGAAGTAACTTGTTTTAGTTGTGGTTGTAGGGAATATTAGCCCAAAAAGGACTAGATGTAGAAAGATCACTTTGCCAATATTTTGCTAACAAGATGAGGATTTTTGTCTGTTGATCAGTCACTAATGTGCATATTCCTTCCATAAATACCAAAAATGAAAAGTGTCACATGCATCCTTGTCTTTAATCTATTTTAAACAAGTTTATTTCTGAAATAAGAGATGATTTTTTTCCCCAGGCTGCATAATAGTTATATAGTCTCTTGATCTTAAAGAAAAGCAACTAAAAACATTAGAAATTAAGGACAGAATTACAAATAATCTCCGTATTAGAATCTTCCAAATTGACACTCAAACAAAATTTAAAAATTGAAAGAACTCAATTTTGTCTATTCTAATTACAATACAGAAACACTTGATTTTTTGGTTTTATCACAGCTAAAATTAATTACATGCTTGTGTGTCTAAGTAGAATTTTATAATCTAGTATAAATTATCAGCATCTAGTATAAATTCATCAGCATTTGAAAATGCTGGTGCATTAAGAAGTGTTAAGAGGTTGTAATTGTTGCCCATTTTCCTTTCTAAGAACTCATTCTTTCTCAGCTCAAGCCTCACCTTTCCTAGTGTGTGCCAGAAAGTCAGGGTGACTGGGGGGTTTGGCAGCACAGGAAAATCTGAGGAAAGAGATGAGAGCAGAGGTTCTCATCTTGCTGCTCATTAGAAACACCTGGGAGCTTTTAACAGCTATGAATTCTTAAGCCACACTCTAGACCAATGTCAGTATATCTTAAAAGCTCCCTCCCAGCTGAGTTTGTCATCCAGGCTTGAGACCCAGTGAATTGGTATTTTCTTTAGCCATGGAAAAATAATTTTCATATCTTATTTTCTTGATATAGTATCAAAAAGATGAAATAGTTAGAGGCAAAATATATGATGCTACTCATTTTATTTTACAGAAAAGAAACAAACTTGTACTTACCTGCCTTCTGACAATGTACAATCTTTTCATACACAGCATCTGCATTTTCAATCAACGCCTTGAGGGACTGGATCATCTGCAAAGGGAACATCCAGACACGAGATGACACCTGACAGCTGGACACTGGTCTGCAAACGTGCATGGGGCTCTTCCCCTGAGAACAGGCTGAGGTGATGAGGCAAAACACACTCTTTATCTGACTTCCTACTACTCAAGTTCAAAATGTATGTGAAAAATGATAAAGTCACACATCTCCTGTGATGGTTTAAACAAGACTGCGAGTATGATGTTTCCAGGGCAGTTAGGCTTGTGCAACACTGAGCTTAAACCTTGAGTCAGTACCGAACTGAGTTCACTTCAATGCGCAAAGCTTCAAATAAATACGTGTACACACCTGATCTGTGTTTTAAGTTATAAACACATTATGACATTTCAGTCATTCATTTTAACAAAATCTCCAACTTCATCTTATAGAAGGCTTCAACACCTACATACCTTATCCATTTTCAAAATGCCTTCATCTGAAAATTGGTTTAAAACTTACAACGAGGACCAAAAAACAGCATTTAGTTGATGCATCACTAATGATATCACTCAAACTAGTATTTTTAATGTTCCTATCAATGATTTTAAAACTTTCTATTTTGAGTTCTTGTTTCAAATTACATGTGCTTGTTTTAAGAGCCAACCTTGAATAAGAAAAACGATCAGGGCACAGCTGATCAATTATTTTACTCACCAAAATGTTAAGAAAAGATCTATCTGAAGTAACATTTTTGGCTTTAGAATCACTATGAAAATAGGATGACCAGATTCAGTTCTCATGACTCACATCGGTATAATTATGATGCTTGCTTTAAATGTAGATTCTAACTTTCTGTATTTAAACGTCCAAATATTTTGCATTATAATACTACTCATCTATTTTACATGACCATTCTATTTTAAATAACAAACACCAATCCATCATTCTCCCTTCCTTTAAATTCTGCCTTGTTTTTCTTTATAGTATTTATCACTAACTGCCACGGTAATTATTTTATAGAAACTAAATATACGTAGGTTGAATTTTTTGTATAACTCAAAGAACACCATATTTTGATTAGTTACACTTATTTAAACTAAAGCCTAATCAACACGCCTCTTAAAAATTACACCAGATTCTTAAAGTGAGTCACACAGCATTTATCAACTTCCACTGTTCTAAGAAAAGTATAGTAAACATCAAAAGGTTCGAAGGCCAAAGCAGGTGTTCATTTATGCCTTCATTCGTGATTCATGGAAGGTCTACTATAGGCAGCCCCTGGGTAGGAACTGGGGACACAGTGACCTGCAGGATATAGCCCCTGTCTTCAAGAAGTCCACAGCCTAGTGGCAGAGCTTGCACATTGGAATTCAGTATTTTCACATTCTTTCTTCAACATCTGAGTCATTCCTGTAAATTAAAATACTCTATTTTACAGCTTGACATATTGAACAGGCAGTGATAAAAATGAATAGTTAAGAACTCGATTATACTGATATGAAGTCATTTGTACCATTACATAATCTGCATACTAAAAAGGTTCATACCATCATCAGTAACCTTTTTCAGCTTTGATGTCGAGCCAAATGAGAGATATGAAGAAGCAAGGACTTCTTCAAGCAAGGATGGTGGTTGTCACAGCTTAGTATCAAAGACCTGGCCAGCAGTGCCTCCATCATTCAGACAGGAAAAAAGCAAAAACAAAAACCACACAAGCAATGAAATGAACCTGGTCATGAAGCAAATGGGCAGTACAGGGGCACTACCAGAAGGAATGTAGGAGAACAAAACAGCAACATAAAGCACAGGCTCACACATACAGACAACCTGCGGGGGAAGGTGGTCAAAACAGATTCACACTGGGGGTGGTGTGGGGCAGAAAGAGCACAGACTTCTTTGGGTTCAAATCCTGGTGCTGCTGTTCATTAGCTTTGTCATCTAGGACAAGATATCAAACGTCACGGAGTCATAACGTCCTACCTGTAAAATGAGTTTAATAAAAGACACTACCGTCATAACACTGTGAGGCTTAAATGAAAGGATGTGTGCGACTGGCACAACGAAAACACTTGCAAATGGCCGATGTCACAGCTGACTCCCCATTTATCTAGGGGGCCTGGCAGAGCACTTTCTGGTAGCCCAAAATAAGCTGAAGGAGTATGCCTTCCTTTCATATGTTCACTGGCAATGTTTCAAACACCCATTACTAATTTTAGTTTTACTTGAAAAGCCTGGTGTGATGAAGGTCAGAGAAACAACAAAGTGCATTATTATTCTTAGAAGCATCTTCCAGTTTAAAAGCGTCAACAAAGGGGGGCTGGCCCAGTGGCATAGCGGTTAAGTACGCGCACTCCACAGCAGTGGCCAGGGATTCAAAAGTTTGGATCCCCGGTGCGCCGATGCACCGCTTGTCAAACCATGCTATGGTGGTGTCCCATATAAAGTAGAGGAAGATGGGCACAGATGTTAGCCCAGGGCCAATCTTCCTCAGCAAAAAAGAGGAGGACTGGCATCAAATGTTAGCTCAGGGCTAATCTTCCTCAAGAAAAAAAAAAAGTATCAACAAAGGTTAAATAGTTATGCACCTTTCAGCTGTAAAATACCTACAAGGCTTCAGAAATGCACATCCATTTCAAGGGTTTGGAGAGGGACACTCCCCTGCTTCCTGCGCTCTGTAATGCTCAAAGGATCAATCCTTTATTCTTGGGGACAGTCATCTACTGAGGCCCCCTAAGTGTGGAACCCTGAGCTAAGTGCTGAGAATGAATAAAGAATAGTTGCTGACCCAGGACTACGAGCAAACAGTAACCACGATAAAATGTAGCATTGTCATTGTAGCCCACGTGCTATGGGTGTGACAAAGTTAAATACTCCTAAGCCAGGTTGGTGGGATATTTAATGGGGTGGGGTACTGGTGGTGTCACGGCGTCCATGTTGATGCTCCATTTCTGGCTTGGACTTCAATATAACAGTTCTTCTCCCGACAATGGGAGTGAACATGCACCCCCCGTCACTTATGAGCAGTACATAAAACATGAAGGAGGCTAACAGACCAGGGTGGAGAAAGCAAACAGAGTGAGAAGCCATTCCCAGCAGGTTTGGAAGTAAACAGCAGTAGGTATTTGCAGAGCATGTTAGAGGGGAGTTGGGAGGGAACCAGCCTAGGAGAAGGCAGGCACACAGTAAAGAATCAGCAGAACTGAGAGGAGGCAGGGAGAAAACACATCCAGACCTTAGCAGAGATATTCACTTTGCCACGCCTGGTATTAAATGTTTTCACCACTTCCTTTGGGAGGAGAAGTTGCCAGTTTATATCTTTTCATAGTTTTAGGGTACATATTTATAGTTAGGGTGCATATTTATAATTAAACTAATGTGTGGTAAACAGTTTGTAGTTCTTGTCCAGAGCATGAGTTCATTAATCCTCAACTCTTGCAGTATTTGCCTAAGTTCTCCGTGAGTGAGAGAGAGGAGCCCCTCTCAGTGTTCCTAAGGAAGCTCCCGGGACTGTGAGCTCCTGGGAGCACACTAGGTTAAGGGTCCAGCAGGCTGAGAGGCAGGACCAGGCAATGCGCCTTCCGTCTGCCTACCCAGCGGGCTGATGTCTTGCTGTCATTCAGCTGACACTGTGATTGAACAGAGAGCACTTGGCACTGAGGATACAGCAGGGACAATAAGGGGATGCCATTAGATCTCATGGGGACCAATGTCTGGGTCTGCTGCTTGATAACGAGCTGTGAGTATAAATAGTACAAGTGTTGGTTGAATGAATCAAAATGAAAGTAATTCAAGGCCTCCTCTGCATCAGGTATGTACTTGGTGCTTTCTGTTTCATTTAATGCTCACAAAATCCATGTGAGGTGCGTATTTATGGTGTTAGTTCTCCAGATGTGAACACCGAAGACCTGAGAGTTAAGCAACTTTCCTAAGGTCGTCTGGTATGATGGGCAAAGGAGGGGCTGTAACTAATAAACAGCAGAACTGGTGTTGCGTTTGACCTCAAAGCCTCTGCTGTTCCACAATCCATGATGGGTCTTGACACATGAGCAGCAGTTGCCTAGGCAAAGAAGAAGAAAGGGCATTCCAACCAGAAAAACGTACGAGAGGAGAGGGACTTAGTAACTCCTGATAGGCACTACACACAGTATGGTAATATCACCTCAACTATTAACATTGATATATTTTCAATATATCACTTTCTATAAAGTGCTTTGGGAAAATATTTTTTAAAAATGACAACAATGAACAATTTACTTGGCTCCACTTAACAATTCATCATTATAAAAGAGAAATCATTTCTATTTAATGTGAAACTACTAGAATAAGCATCTCAGACTAGACAAAAGCAGATATGTGGGGAGCAACATCAAGAAATGAGTCAAAGGGAAAAACTGCCTTATTTTCTCTGTATCTATTACATTAATATGTCAATATAGCACGAGGCCCAGTAGAGCGGTTGGCTCTATGAGCATTATTTGCATTAATGCAAATGCATTAATTTCATCGATCCCCTCTAAATGCATAGGTGTAAGTCTTGGCACAGCAATCAGACATCCTGCTGCCAGCCCTTACCACGTGGACACGCAACTCATGTGGTAACTCACCACGTGGACACGCAAATTGTTTATCAAGTACAAGATGCTTTTATACAGTTGTTGCTAATGGATTTCACATTAGTGTCCAGTTACCAGTACCTCCTAAATTTCTAGAACTAATGCATTAGGAAAATCTATGGATTTAACATAGCCTGAAAAACTCTTTCACAAATTTGATCAATTCTAATACAAGGTTTTAATACAGGGCTCAAGCAGATGTAAAGCAGGAAGTTTCAACTAAAGGCAAAATAAAAATTAAAATTCATATTTTATTAAGCTGGAAAGAAACCAGAAATGCCCTTCATAAGAATGCTCTGTTAACAAGTAACTCCCCATGTAAGTATAAGGCAAACTTCTCTGTTTATAGGTATGGTTATGAAGGACTATTACTATATTAATATATTTTATATTACTAGATTTCTATAGCCTGCTTCTTTATTTTCTGTTTTGAAATTT